CTCCCTCCACTGCCAATCACAAGCACCCGATCAGCCATGAACCTGTGCAAACCCAGAGTGGACATACATAGCACTATTTATTTATTTCACAACCCTGTGGAAAAAAAAAAAAAAAAAGCAAAAATATAGAAACTACATCACTTATAACTGGTAATATCAAGCCAGTTTGTATTAGAAAGATACCTATAAGACATCTGAACAAAGTACCTGTGCCAGCAGTGTCACTGGATGGAGGCATCATTCACATTTTGATTTAAATGCTGCCAACAATTAAATCACTGAGAATTTTGTCCACTTGTTTCAGCACAGTTAAGATTTCCTCTCTTAAGCATCCAAACTGAAATAATCTTGTCATGACAAGGTCTCATCAAGTCCTTTGCATAAACTACACAGAACAGTACTGAAAGTTTCGTACAAATACTCTAGGTAACTTACCAGATAAATGTAATACTGTAGTCAGTCTAGGACCTTTTATGACTGCAAACATGCTCAGTAATAAACGGCAAAGACAGTCTTCAAAACAGATTTTATACTTTGACAATTGAACAGCATGCTTAATAAAAGAACAACAGTTGATGTCACTAGCACACTGACATTTAAAACAGTTCCTCAGTAATATTTCTTGGTAAATTAGTTGTGATTTATTTCAGGAATATTATCATACTCAATGTGGGTCACATCCGCAAACTTAATTTTTCTGTATGTGCCGAATGTAGACAAATGTCAGAAAGAAAAAACACCGCAGAACATGACCTTTAAGGAAGCTGCTAATGGCATAAACCAGTCCTTACCCAGGAAATAGATAATAAATTAAAGATATCATAAAACACTAGGTTTACAAGTCACACATCAGCATTCTTTTCCCAGGAAATCATAGCCATTGGTTTGAGTTCACTGCATAGCTTCCCAAGGCAAACAGAAGCTAAATGGTGACACTGAGGTATAATATTTCAGAAAATAAGTTCACAGAACTGTGATAAATCAATAATCATGTTTAAAGTTCCTGAGAGAGTATTAAGATGTCTTAACTTGGTATCAACAAACTAAAATGTAACTATATATATTTTCATCATTATTATATTGTTCAAGTACAATGTTAGTACTTCAAGCAGCCTGTCCATGGGGACTACAGATGATCATGGATCCGCCTGGACACGTTCCTGTGTAACCTTATCTAGGTGTTCCTGCTCCGGCAGGGGGATTGGACTAGATGATCTTTTGAGGTCCCTTCCAATCTCTAACATACTGTGATACTGTGATACTGTGAACTAAGAGACTTATTTTAAGTATTGTACTCTATGTGTATAAACACAGAACATATGTTTAATCCTCTATCAATCACCAGACTGATTTCCCTGCAATAGATTTTTCTAAGTCTTCATACTGTGTGACAGTCCAATATGTCAGATTTTGTCTTTCCTTCTGTCACTGCTTGACAAATAATTCTGGAGTCACTAGGAAGTTGCTGTGAACTTAAAAGTAAAGGGTTACAGCTGCTCTGTCTCTAACAAAGACATGAACATGCTCTCAATAAATCTTCATTAGGCACCAGGGTCCAACAATTACTAATAAAATGCAGAGTGTTTTTGAAAGCATAATTATTTTTCCCCTTAAATATAATTTTGTAATTCATTGAAGTTTTCTAATGCAAAATAGATTAAAGTTCCTGACTGGGAAGAGAGTGAAACCTACCCCATGGAGAAAATGCACATTTCCATTCCGTATCATAGTTAGGACATTAATGACATTTTTTGCAAAGCAACTCAAAAGCGTGCTGGAAGAAAAGAAAGCTGGTAGGAAAGCTGGTCCTAGTGGAAAGGCTGTAAAGAGAATGTCTCACTTGAATAATCTTCCCTTACCGTGTCAGACCCTGCTGTTTGTCCACACAAAAAAAATGAAGAGTTCTCCAGACAGATTTGAGTTCTTCCTTCACCTCCTGCTTCAGATCAAAATGATTTCTGACTTCCTAAAGCCCAGGAGAATGGTGAGAGGGTGAAAGAAACAGACAGACTTGAAAACTGCCTAACAGTAGAATCCCCAGCAGGATCCCCTTAATGCCACCCACCCTTCAAAACAAACCTTCCCACAGATTTCAGCAGTGTGGGAAGGTTCTCCTTCATTCTCCTCTCTTTCCTTTTTTCCTTAGCTAACAACAAAAACAACTCCTCCCCATTAATCAATTAACAATGTTAATGGTATTCGACCCTAGTGAAAAAAAAAAAAAGAGCTACAATATGTATCAAAAAGCTGAGATCATTGCACAGTTCCCATGTTGAGAGTAATTTTATATCCTCTGACAAGTAAAGAATCTCAAACACAACTTGCAAAAATACAGAACCATAGAATCAACTAGGTTGGAAAAGACCTTTAAGATCAAGTCCAACCATTACAGCTAAACAACAAACACTGCAGTTAAAGCCTGCACACGTAACTCTGACAGACCTACTCATTGTAATAGGACATACCCTTACATGTATATATGTAAAGGTTATTACATCTAGCAGACACTGGAATTGTGCCCCCTTAAATACTACTCTTGTTACATTTTGAAGAAATTTAATACAAGCAGTGCCAGAGATACAATGTATGTAATACCTGTCATTTTATTCTTTACTGGTTCTTACAACATCCTCTTCACTACCCTAATCCTTTCCTGGAACTATCTGAAATCCTTTGGTTAATGTTTGACAAGCTTGCAGACCTACGACTCCTCGCTGAAAATAAAATTAATGTATCCCAACATAGCACTAAGTAGCATCTGTGTGTCTTAAATTAGGCAATGAGAAATAAAACCACATTGAGACACAAGCCATTCCTTTTACACCACTAAAACTCATTTTTAAGGAAATCGGTGAAGTTTATTTAAAACTTCTATGAAATTAACAGTGTATGTGTACTTGAACTTCCCAGTTTAAGAAGACATGCCTCCTACAGTAGTCTTAAGCAACACTTACCAGGTATCTGTGGACTGCCTTCCTTAGACTTGCAAACTCCCAGTTCTGTGTTGTCTACCCACGACTGAAGAGCAAACCAACACAAGGAAAGAAAATTCTTATTTCTCATAAGAATTTCTCTCTCTTTTACAATGGTTTTCAGATTCTAATCAGAAGGCTGTGACAATTTAAGTCAGGAACAGAACTCGTTCAGCCCTGAAACATCTCTCTGCTACATGACTGGCCAGCAGAACATGATTTAAACTTCTGTTCTTTTCAGCGGGTCAATTTGTATTGCAATTATTTGATCAATTTGTTTTCCTAGGTAATGAAGTGAATACGCAGTAGATAGAGGCAATATACACCGAAAGTTCCAATATCAGAATCTGACTTTCACAGAAGGCAAATCTGAAATTAAAAAATGCAGAATACCATTATCTAATGAACAGAAATAAAAAAATACCTCTGAAACAATGGATTTTAGAATTGTTTATTCACCAAGATAGCATACTGGCAAAGCTGTATCAGGATGAGCAGCCAGAGTGTAACATTGGAGGCTGTAGACCAAAGTAGCTCTGAGTGTTTGTTGCTTCCTTTCTGACATCAATGCCACCGTTGCATTGCCTGGATATGCTGCATGCCCACCCATACCCCAACAAGAACCGTTAAAAAAAAACACAGGGTTTTTTTTTCAAATTTTATTATTTTTTTTAATAATACATGCTGGTGTTCAGGGAGGAAATAAATTGTTGCCTTCCATCTGCTAGGCCTTCAGTTCATGCATCTGGGTCCTCCTTTTCAGGCTGAGGCTGAGACCTGTTTCTTGGCTTCAGCTTTCTTTAGCTGAAGTCACCATTTCCCAACAGCCAGCTGATGCCATTGATGAAGGCTGTAGGAACAACCCTGCCAGGCACTGACTGTCCCACAACAAGGTAGCAGAGGCTAGGAGCTCGGGTCACTACAGGCCTGGCACAGCCTTTCGGGGTGAGCCCAGTGAATGACTGCTTATGCTACTGCTAGCATGGCTGCTTAGGGGCACTCACAGCTTTTTGAAAACCATGTTCTGGGCAAGGGTGAGGATGCTGTGAAAGACCAAGCCTTTGTCTGGGTAAGTGCTGCAGGGGAAGCCATTTCACAAACCCAGGAAGAGGCAGGGGAATTTATCACCTACTAAGGTGGAATTCACTCAGGAGGACAAAGGCTACAAAGCAGTTAAGGTTTACAGGTGTAAACATATGTATTAAAAAACAATATGAAAAGCTGCTCATCCTATACACTCATCCACTCATGTGGCCAGCAGAACTAGGGACATGATTGTCCTTCTGTACTCAGCACTGGTGAGGCCACATCTTGAATCCTGTGCTCAGTTCTGGGCCCTTCACTACGTAAGACATTGAATTGCAACAGCAGGTCCCAAAATGGATAACACAAGGTGAAGGGTCTGGAGCACAAGTCCTGTGACAAACAGCTGAGGGAACTGGGGGTGTTTAGTCTGGAGGAGGCTCAAGGGGAACCACATCACTCCCTGCAACTACCTGAAAGGAGGATGGAGTGAGGTGGCTGGTCTCTTCTCCCAAGTAACAAGTAGTAAGCCAAAAGGTAATGGCCTTAAGCTGCACCAGGCTAAGCTTAGACTGGACGTTAGGAAAAAATTCTTCACAGAGAGGGTGCTCAGGCATTGGAACAGGCTGCCAAAGGCAATGGTGGAATCACCTCCCTGGAAGCGTTCACAAACCGAGCAGATGAGGCCCTCAGTGACATGGCTTAGTGGTGGACTTGCTAGTACTGGGGTAGCGGTTGGACTCCATGAATTCTAAGGTCTCTTCCAACCAATTCTATGACCGCAAGCCACCGGCGTGGCCAACCTACCACAGCGCCCAGTACCGCAAAGCCCCTCCCCCCCCCGCCACACTGCGCTTGCGCCGAGCGCCCACCCCTCCCCCCATGGCTATCTGGGCACGCGCGCCTTCTTGGCTCTCGCTGCGTCCACGCGCAGCCTAGTCACGTGCCCCTGCGCCGGCTGCCGTAGGCGTTCAAGCCGAAGGGGGCGGCAGCCCGCGGCTTTGGCCGGCCTCGGGCTCCCTCCGCCGGTGAGCCGGCGTAGGAGGGCGGGCCGGCGTTCCCTGTCACACATGCCCTCACCCCGCCACTAGGACAGGCCACCCGTCCTTGAGCGAAGGGTAAAAGCAGTCGCTCCTCCTCTTCCTCCTTCTCCTCTGTTGCTGGCTCTTTGCCAGTGTTTGCAGTGCACCTGCGGGCGTACGTCGCTGTGAGGGAGGGGGAAGGGCTGGCGGCGGCGGCGGAGAGCAGGTGAGGTACCGGGCGGGGGGGCTGTGGGCCCTCTACGGGGATGATCCCCCGACCGGCACTGGGGAAGTGAGGCGTGCTGAGCGCCCAGCTTCTCGCTTGCCAGTACCCGCCTCCTTCAGCCCTCCTGCGGCACAGCGCCTAAGGGCGCTCGCCAGTCCCAGCCCATGGTGGCGGTTTGGGGGAAGCCATGGGGGCCCTAACGGCAGCGGGGTGCGAGGGGGGGTGGGCTCGTAAGCAGGGCCCTGTTCGGTGCCCCTGCCATCCGCGGCCTGTCTTGTGGGGAAAAGAGATGTCGGTCCTGCCCCCCCGCACCTGACTGCATCGGGGAGAGCTGAATTTAACTGGGGAATAAATACCTGCGGCCAGCACCCTTTGGTGCTGCAGAGAGAGTGCCGTGAGTGCGGTTTGATACAGGGCTTTACGAATATGTTAAAATCGAGTCGATGGAATTATGAAAAAGGTTGGCTTCTGATCTGGATGTTGAGTATTAAAAGTGTATTCATTGATCTTTAAGTAGTAGTTATGTCGACTTTTATGGCTGTATGAAACTAAATTATTATGTTTGCCAGCCATCTCGAGGGAAAGAAATCTGTATCATCAGTGAAAATCCGCCACCCATGTTAATAGCATACCTTATAATAAACACAAGTTGATGACTTAATATGTTACCTGGATCAAAATCAACTGAAAATGTTCAGGATTGCGCCAGTCTTTCATCCAGTCCCAAGTACATCTCCTTTCCCTTTTCAGATAGGCTACTGCAGAAGGCACTTTGTTAGGCAGTTTGTTACATGCAGGACATATAAACACTGTTTATCCCTTAAACTTAACCTTGATTTAACCTAGCCTTTTGTTTGGAAAGGCAGTCAGCAATGGATATGTTGCAGGTATTGTGAAAGCACTGCGTATGAGGCATTTGTCTCAGGATTTTCATTCATAAAGAGAAATTTGCAGTTGTTTATGCAATTAGTGTGATATTTTCTTACTTTTGACATTATTTGAAGACTTACTTGGGTTGTCATTTGCTAAAGGTGCTCCTTTTGCTGTTTCCCAAAATGATTTGGAAGCACTGGTCTTCCTGACAGGGTGAGATACTGTATGCTATTGAACTGTGCAGAGTTCCAGGTTTATAACCTTACCTGTCACAAGTGAAGGAGGTTGGCCACTAGGATGCAAGATCCCTGCTGGGACACAACAGTTAATCTGAATGAATCCATAATTTGAATGCTGCTTCAGTTGTTGCTGTGAAATACCGAAAGGGAACCATAATGAAATCCTTTGAGAATGTACCAGGTGGTAATCTTGAGGCACTAATGCGTGTGAATAGCAAATTCGGGTGACGGCCCAATGTAGCTGTAGAGAGGAAAAGGAGAGGTTTGTTTCAGCAGTTCCTGCTCACCATAAAGCATATTTCCAGTTCACAGTGCACTGCCTTTGCAGAAAGGCAATAAAGCTTCAGCCTTTGGGGAATTCTGCAGTGCAAAACAAACCAATGCTACAGTTGCTATACAACGAGAAAGCTATATTGTGAATTAGTTTTCATTTACATTGTAATATTACTACGTCAGTAGTAATTAATAAAAATTGCAGATTTCAGTATTAATCTGTAGAGGAAAAGAACATTGTGTGCTTTTCTGAAATGTAGGTGTTTCTTAGCATAATGTAACCACTTTAAGACTTTAATCGTGTAAGTTCTTTTAAAAATTGTATTTAACACCATTTTTATAAAAATGTGTTTGTAGGTCATTGTTTATAATGTAGCCGCATCTGAAGGAGTACAAAGTGGCTTTGTCAGTCTGGCTAACAGCATAGGGCATCATTTAGTGGTGCGTGAAGCAATGTTTCCAAGAAACCTGAAGGTATTTCCCTACATTTGTGGCAACAGAATGTTGTCAGGTTTTAGACCGAAAAGCAACATCAAGGACTCTTACAAGATCCTTGAGCTTGAGGAAGGATGTTCCCTCGATGATATCAGAAACTCGTATCGAAGTCTTGCCAAGAAGTACCATCCGGACAGTGGTTCTGCCACAGCTGATGCTGAAGCATTTATGAAAGTAGAAGAAGCGTACCGAGCAGTGCTCAGCGATGCAACGACCAAAAAGAAAGCAAACGACGAAAATGAAGAGGAGGAGGATCAGTTTAAAGTGCAAGCACCACAGCACAGACACTACTTGAGTTTTGAAGGTGTGGGTTTCGGAACACCCAGCCAAAGAGAAAAGCAGTACATGCAATTTCGCGTAGACCGTGCAACTGAACAAGTGCTGGAATACCGGAAGCAGAGACTTGAAAGCCAGTTTGTCGCGACTGACCTCATGAAAGCCAAAGACGTGAGGCAGAGCAAAAAGGTGAAGATAACTCAGGCGATTGAACGTTTGGTGGAGGACCTCATCCAGGAATCGATGGCAAAGGGAGACTTTGACAACCTCAGTGGCAAAGGGAAGCCTCTGCAGAAGTTTTCAGACTGTCCACATGTTGACCCTATGACTCACAACTTGAACAGAATTCTGATAGACAACGGGTACCAGCCGGAGTGGATCCTGTTGCAGAAGGAAATACGGAAAACTATTGAGCAGTTAAGGAAGAGCATAGTGGCATCTCGAAGCAAGCTTGGAGAGCCAATGACACCATGCAGGCAAAAGCAGTGGAATCGTGTTTGTGAGCAATTCACAGAAGATATCAGGAAATTAAACAAAAGAATCGACAACTTCAATTTAGTTGTTCCTATTCTGAGCAGACAAATGGTGCACTTCAGTGCTGACAAAGAAATTGGCCGAGCACAAAAGACTTATGAAGCATTGGTGGAAAATGGAGAGACTTCTAATTCAGACACAAAGGAAAATGAGGAGGAAAATGTTGAAAGGTTTGGGTGGAAGTCTTCTCTATTGAAGTGGTTAAACTATACATCAAAATAACACTAATTTATCTGTCTTGTCAAGATTTTGAATGCACTTTATTAAACAAAACTTGTAACACTAGAGAAATTTCAGGTACACTGAAAATGTAAAATCCAGCTGTGCACTGTTACACCAATTAAAATGAAATGGGTTGCCTGATGTGCGTTTGCAGGTCCTTAATTGATTTATTTGTGAACATTGTTAATTAACTGTGCTGGTTTGGGCTGGGCTGGACTTCATTTTCTTCATAGGAGCTGCTATGAGGCTACATTTTGGAGTTGTGCTGGAAACAAGTCAGGGATGTTTTAGTTACTGCTTAGCAGTGCTTGCACAGAGCCAAGGCCTCTTCTGCCTCTCACACCACCTCACCATTGAGTAGGCTGGGAGGGGACATACATAGCTGGGACCTCAACTGACCAAAGGGGTATTCCATACTGCATGGTATCATGCTCAGTATATAAAGTTCTGGAAGAAGGAATGGGGGGACATTCAGAGTGATCTTGTTTGCCTTCCCAAGTACCTGTTAACATGTGATGGAGCCTGCTTGCTTGTGGGAAATGATGAATGATTTCCTTATTTTGGCTTGCTCGTGCACATGTTTTTTTTCTTTACCTATTAAACCGTCTTTATCTCAACCCATGAGTTGTCTCACTTTTACCCTTCTGAATCTTTCCTCCATCCTGCCATGAGAGGAGTAAACGAGCAGCTCTGTGTGGCTTAGTTGCCAGCTGGGGTTAAGCCACAACAGGAAAAAATCGGTTATCCTTTTGCAGCTTGCTTTGCTTCTGTTTAAATAAAAATTAACACTTCCCTTTAGCAGTGTTAAAAGGCATTAAAGTGGTTTTGCAGTTACGTCTTCAAAAGGTGAAACGGAGGCATAACAAAAACATATTAAGGACAAAGTGGAAGTAAAAGTCTTGCTGTGCCCTGTTGCTTTGACCTTTATCCGTTCTTATTTAAATGCTTATAACTCATGAATTGTTGACAGGTTTCATGCTTTGGTTTATGGTTTATGGTTTCTTTTTTTTAAAGTGCATTCATCTCTTCAAGGTTAAATGAAATGGGAATGAAGGGAGGGTTCTGGATGTCTGGAGTTGGGCTGTACATTCTGCAGTAGTCCATTTTTGGATTTGGCTTTTAATACAGAAGGAGGTCTCAGAAAGCAAATCTGAGTAAATAAGGAAGCCTGCCCAAAACTGTACCTTAGTCAGAGGGCTTTTTAGAAGTGACAGAAGGGAGTACTATTTTTCAAAAGTAATTGTGCCATTTAAATGTTTTAAGAATACTGGTATCAAAGAACTTACTGTGAAATATTGCTGTATTATTAGAGTTTATGGGCAGTGGCTTGGAAAGTAGAAAATTTCCATGGTGCTAAAGTTGTATTTATTAATCTGTCAACTCTCCACACAATCTGATTTTCCTGGAGGATTTTTCCTATGGAAAGGTGTGGCTGGATACATCAGTATCTGTGCAGGCCTCCTTTCTCACTCGTGCCTCTGTGACCCAGACTGTCACAGTCTCCACCTACGCAGGAGTTGTGCTGCACTCTGCCAGTCCGTAGGAGGGTGTCTGTGGTCCCTGGTGTGCCAGGGAGGGGGGATATCAGCTCTTTTAGAATTTTAGAAAGGAAAGGTAGGTGATGGTCACATCCATCCTTTGGTAAATGCCCCAGCACCAACAGAGTCTGGGTTAATGCATTTGCTTGTGGGCAGGTAACAAACATTGCATGTGCTTCTTTTGGTCTTTGTGCTCTTGCTTGTATAGATGAGGTCTGAACCAGAAGACAGGGCATTATTTATCTTTGTCGGTAGAACTAACTAATTGAAATATTGCCTGTCAGTACTTTTATAATCTAGTGATACTATCTGATTTTATTTATTCACTGG